TTTCAAAATATACCTCCTTTTGAAAATAGTTCATTTTTGGGGTACTCCTATTGGTGATGTATTTATCAAAATATTCTTTCCTTTTGTTTGTAAATGAGTGAAATTTTTTTTTACCTCTATTAAAGACTAATGGAAATTTTTAGCATAGTTTGGCACAAGAACTTTGATTTTACTTTCAACGGCTTGTGAGATTAATATTTTATTCTGAGTTGAGTCTCCAACTGGAAGCTTGAATCTTAGGTCATTTCTCTTCTTACAAATAGTCCTTTTCTTCCCTGCTTTCCTTACTAGCTTGCAATTATTTCGCCAATTGCCATCAATATGGTGTCATCTACGTATCTAATGTTGTTAGGATTTTTCCCACCAATAATAAATCCTGGGAGAACTTCTCGTTCTCTTAGAATGATATCACTGTAAATATTGAATAAAGCCGGTGAGAAAACACATCTTTGTCTTATTTGTGTACTTATTCACTTCAGCCTGGATGCAGTCTGCACTACATATTCTGGATTATTCAAAAAAAAGTTTTCCTTGCAGTTCAAATAGGTCTTTGTGTCAAATACTTTTTCTTAGTGATCAGAAACTTTTCACTTCAGCCTGGATGCAGTCTGTTTGCTCCCACTACATATTTTGGATTATTAAAAAAAAAGCTTTCCTCGCAGTTGAAATAGGTCTTTGTGTCAAATACTTTTTCTTAGTGATCAGAAACTTTTACAGCAATAATTAAAATAGTATCAGTAAAAACACAGCAAAATTGTGATAAGTTTGCCTGGTCATATGAACTGATTAGCAAGAATATTTTTTAAAATCATTTCACCCCAAGCAAGGCAATAAAGCCACTAAGACGCTGGAGGTTACTGAGTGTTAGAAAATATGAGAAAAAACATTATTAAGGAGAGAGAATCAGAAAAGAACAAGAATTATAATTTTAATTTCCAACATATATCCTATGAGTGTCAAATTTTCTAAGCCCACTTTCCTCACTACGGGTCCTAGAAATTTCAACTAAGATGTTTCTGATGTTAATTACAAGTGTCAATATTGTTTCCATTTTTGCAAAAATTTTGTCGTTGATCAGATGTTCGGTCCATAGTATTCTTACCATCCTTCTGTAGAACCACATATCTGTTGCTTCAAGTGTTTTCTTCATCTATGAGGAGCTTGTTCAACATTAACTGCCATATAGGAGAACCGATATTATATGAAAGTCCATTTCTCTTTTCTTGGTTTCTAACGAAATTTTCCTGTTTCTTAATACTTAGCTTTGGAAAAGCATCTTTCGCTATCCAAATCCGCCTTTGGATTTCAGTGTCGCACTTTCCGTCTTCTATTAAAACACTTCCAAAATATTTAAATTGTTGTACTTGCTTGATTTTGGTATTTCCAATTTGTAAATTGCAGGTTTGGCTGTCCCCTTTGCCGACAACCACACATTTTGTTTTCTTGCAATTGGTGTTTAGTCTTTTCTTCTTGCTTTCGTTCATTACCTTATAGAGGAGTTCTTTTAGTTTCCTTTCTGTGTCTGCTATCAACACTGTGTCATCTACATATCTTATGTTGTTATGATCGTCTAACAATGAATCCTTTTAGGATTTCTAATTCTCTCAGAATCGACTCATTTTATAGGTTGAATAGTCGGTCAAATCATCCATGTATCTTTACATCCTTTTCTTTTTCGTATATTACTGAATTCATTTTCTATTTGTATGCAGGTGGTTTGCTTACAGTATAGGTTCTGGATTATTTGAATATCTGCCCCAAATATGTCAAGGTTACCTCACAGGTTCTTTGTGATACACTTAAGAGTAGTTTTTTTTTATAATAACATGAAATAAATTACAGTATTTTTCGATTGGAATCATAGTAGTTGCGATGCCCATCACCATCGAAACAACAAAACACAAAGAGAAATATTGTGAAACTAAGAAATAATTAACAAAATATCTGATCCAATCCAATCGAAGCACTTGCTAAACAATCTCCATCATCCCAAAGAAACCAGGATGCTTTGTTTCTTCTCCGATGAGGAGGACATCGACCAAGAGCAGAAAGTTATCAAGAGGAACGGTAGGTGGCCTCAGGTGGACTGGCTTACGGACATGTCACATCGAAACGTCTCGTCATGTGCGTCACTAAGGTGAAGCAATGTCAATCCTGGTTGAGTACCTGAGGATAAGGGACCACTTGGAAAAAGTGCTGTAAGTTTGGATATTTGGGTGGTATAATGGATAATGGCTCGGGAATCATTAGTCGAAGAACAGAGTTCTAATTCAGTTGGCTGAGAAGTCTACATAAAATATGGAGGGTGCTAAGAGACATAATTTAATGTCTAATAATGTCTAATAAATAAAAGTGAAAGTTTTTATTTTATTCCTATTAAATAACTAGCAGGTTTGCACAAAGTAAAGATATATTCACTCTTGAAATCTTTTGAAACAAAATTTTAAATGAACATTTCATTCATAAATTGGCTTGTTATAGTTAAAGAAAAGCTTTACAAATAGGGATGCCAACTTGTTGAAGGCCAAGTAAAATGCAAATTTCAAACACTTTTCGAACTATATAAGACAATATTCTAAAGAGAACTATTTTTGATATAAAAATCAAAACAGTCCTCGAATACAAGAACAGTACAATATGCAAATTAGGTAAACCTGAAAAGTGGTATCACCTGGAAGTAGCTATTATATAATACTGATATTGAGCTATAAATTACTATGAAGTGGAGATAGGTCTTTTTAACCCCAGAATTTGTGGATGAATTGTGCTCCTATTTTGCATTTATTCATATAGATGTAATTAGACATTAAATTACGTCACTTAGCATCTTTCATAATTTACCTAGACTTTTAATTAGCTTGATATTTATTTATGAGAGTTCTTAAATTGAAACATTTTTTAAAACTAAGTTGCAAACTTACAAAAAATTGATGAAGAAAGCTAAATAAAGGAGGACAGTATCTGGAATTATTTAAACAAAATGTGCCATGTCCGTTTAGGCTGTAGGCGATCATGGCTTGCCACAATTTCTTGTTCTTTGTAGCTCTTAATAAATTTTGTCCTTTTGTTATCTCTCCTAAATCTTGCTTCATCACCCATTTACACCATTTAAGTTATGTGTTGTTACCCCCCCTCCCTCTTGCCTTCAAACTGTCCTGTGAGTATCAAATTTCCAAGCCCTCTTTTCTCATTATGTGCTTTGGAAGTTTCAACTGTCTATTCCTGATGTTAAGTATAAGTGTCTTTTTTATTTTCATTTTATCTAAAATTCCGTCGTTCACATGTTTCCGTTGATGGTATTCTCATCATCCTTCTGTAGAAGCACATTTCTGTTCAAGTCTCTTCTTTATCTGTGAGGCGCTTGTTCAGCATTCACTGCTATATAGCATATTACATCAATGAATTGAATTTGACTTCCATTCAAGCTGACTTACACATATGACTCACAAACATAACCTCGTCATGATGTAATGATTATGTTGTTAGATTGGATTACATATTAATTATTTCTTTAAGAAGCCTCATGATCTCTCCCTTTGTTTTTTGATGGGAAGGGATGGTCATCGCGACCACTTCGATTCCAATTGAAAAATACTTTAAATTATTTCATGTTATGGAATTCTATCCTTAAATGGTTTGATAAAGTGTGTAAAAAAAGAACCACTGGAATCACAGGGAGAAGCTTGACATATTTAGGGCAGATATTAGAATAATCCAGAACCTATATTGGCTGATGCATACGGATAGAAAATGAATAGAAAGTAGTGTAAGACAATGTAGTGAAAGAGATAATCAGTTACCCTGAAAAAAAAGTTTGTTTTTGTGCATCTGTCAAAGAAAAATCACCAAAAAGCAGTTAGCAAAAATCTACATCAATGACTAGAAGCTATGCTAATGTTCTTCCCTCCCCTGAATGGCGTGACCAATCAGAAAATTCTCTCAGTGAACAGAAGCCGTTGTTTTTCGCTTATAAAAGGAGAAGATTTTTTTGAGCTTGGTGGAACAAACACGCGTTTTTGCTGGTGAGAAGTGAAGGTAGGACGTGTGAACCCATTTTGTCGTTTCTACGTTGTTTGTTGGACTGTTACGATGGACTATCGTTTGAACTGCGATTTGGCTACAAGTGTCGCAGTCGAGAAACAGAAAAATCTATTGCAGTTGCTACTATCAGTTGACAGTCTTTTCTTTACTACAACAGACAAGGATGTGTCTTTTCAATGGACTTATTCAACCTATAAAGGGAGTCAATTCTGAGAGAATTAGAAGCCCTACAAGGATTCACTGTTGGCAGCCAGGACCTTAACAACATAAGACATGCAGATAGCATGGTGTTGATAAGTAGATGCAGAAAAAAGTTTAGTAAAATATAGATTATAAAATGGATTAAATATTAAATTCGTTTAATGTAGCAAATGAACAAAACGACAGATGTCCATCGTAGTTTGAATAAATTTATTCTCAAATTTAGAAATTTTCGTTTTAAAACGTAACGTTAATTATTTCTGCACACTTCCACACATTTTGAAGATGAAAATCATATAGCTATATTGTTGTATAGATAAGTGTTAGATAAATATATCAATTATTGATAGGTCATCACTTTCCTCACCGGACTTTTTGACAAGAGCAAAGGGTTATCTCTTGTTTGCAGTTTAGGATTGGGTTTCCGGTTCCTTCTGAGGTTTTCTCATCTGCTGTCATTCCCAATAGCCCCCTTGCACCTCAATGGCATTATCGCCTTACTTGGGGTGATTGCAATAAAGATAGATAGAATATTATTACACTTTATTACACTGGATTAATGAAATACAGAAATAAAAGATGTTAGAGCAAAATGAAATAAAATATATACTATATATACTATATATAATATATGACGGATATAATAATATAAATATATATATATATATATATATATATATATATATATATAAATATATAAGATATAAAATGAAGATCTATGAACAGGTCTATGACAGACAATAGCAGGTGATTCTTCTTTAGATAGATAAATTAGATAAATAGATAGGGGTTAGATAGATAGATAGATAGATAGATAGATAGATAGATAGATAGATAGATAGATATGAAAAACCTGGGATATATAGAGCGTGTCCATAAAGTTCGTGTGCACTTTAAAAAAAATTATAACTTTATTTGTATTTGCGATAGAAATAATTTTGTAAAAAAGATTAGAAAGAAGTAAATCTATATTTTTTAGGGTTTTATTGAAATTTTATTTAAGTTTCCAGATGTCCTCCATCATTAGCAATACAAAGGGTAATACGATTTTGAAGTTCACGGAAAGCATTTGCCAACTGATTTAGAGTAATGTCTGAAATCACATTAGTTATTTTAGCTATACTTAAAACTAGGTACATTAAACTTTATAACATTTTTTACAGATTATTTCTATCGCAAATATAAATAAAGTTATAGATTTTTTAAAGTGCACAAGAACTCGATGGACACCCTATATATATATATATATATATATATAACTACACTCGTCTCGGAAAATCTTCGGTTTCTTGATTTGCTAATGGTTAAATCAATTTCGAAGGAAAAAGGTTTTTAAAAAAAGAAAGAGCTAGGAACATTTACGTCTGTCGAAAATAATCGTACAGCATACAGGTCCAAAGCCCAAAGAAAAAAAACCAGATACGAGTAATCAACTAACTAAAAAAGTGCTCGATACAAAGTAGAGTAGACCTGGTCAAACCAAGAGAGCCAGATTTCATTTTCGGATCGTCAGAGCTGGAAAGGTGAAACTGGTTTATCAGACTATAGGTTTGACTATATATATATATATATATATATATATATATGAAGAAAGAATGAGACGAACCAGAAATAAAAATAAAATAAAGCTAATCTAATCTGCTTGATTAACGACGGATTCTCCAGTTAATTAAATATAATTGTACGTTCATTTGTCTTTCCTTTTTCTATATGAACCGGTATCGGGTTTCGATCCCTTGCAAAAGTAAAGATACCTAACGCCAACAGATTAAAAATCGTAATGCAAGAATCAATATCAACTATTGCCCCCACCCCCGCCTGCTCAATTTGACATCTACCACATTAAACGTATTTGCGAAAATATTTAAGATCTAAGTTAGTTTTCGAAAAATGTTAATAAATGCTTTCTACTTGATAATTTTTATCGAATTCGTTTTTAAAGAAGGAATTTAAAAAATCAGTCAGATATGACCGTTAATTTAAGTTCAGATTTCTTTTAGGCGTTGGATTGCCGTGTTTTTAATTTGATTTCTATTCAGTTTTCCATTCGACAAGTGTGAAAACTGCTCGAAATGTAGAAAATAAGACGGAACCATCGATATCCAGTCTAAAGAACTTTTGCTCGACATTTTCTTTTCGCAGTGTACTTTCAGAGCATTTTTATCAAATGTACGTCCGGAAGCGATTCGAACGCATGCGCAGATATCTTCACCGAATCGAGAATCCGGTACCCCAACAACTACCACCTGTTCAACATCCGGGTGACTTCCAACGTAATCCTCAATCAGCAGGATAGACATTTTGACAGTACCCTTGATAATAAAGCCAGATTTTCGACCAGTCATCAATATCCTCCCGTTGGACTGCATGTAGCAAAGATCGTTCGTGTGGAACCAGCCATTCTTGATTGGAGTCACTAAGTTTCCATCATATCCCTTGGTGTTCCAAACGTTACGAATGCATAGTGTTCCCACTTTTCCCATCTCAACCACTTCTTCTTTTTCGTCGATAATCTTTGTCTCCATCCCCGGAAAAGGACGCCCGAGCATTCCTTGTTGGTGTTCGGAGATGTTTTCTTTTGTGAATATTTCTTGGACGCACGTCATAGTTTCCGTACTGCCGTAAGTCATGGAAAAGGCATCGGTGAAGACAAAAGAATGTCGGATCATTTCTTCAGTGATCATATCACCACCCGAAACAATAAACCTGGTACGAAAACCATAATCGCGTATGGACTTAATAAACTGCGGTAACATTAGGATGATAGAACACTTTTCTTTTTTCCACATACTCACCAGGAAATCGTTATTGGCAGGGTCGTTTAAAAATCTCACGTCACCTGTGACAGTGGTGCACCCATTTCCCAGGTAAAACATGGGGTACCCACCCACATACGCCATCGGCCGGTTACTGTAAACAATATCGTCAGCATGAAATTTAGAGATAATGTTATAGATAGTAAAGTTGTTGACAACGTTGAAATGTGTGTGAGTGACCTTTTTAGGGATTCCTGTCGTTCCTGATGTCTGGTTGATAAGAGCGATATCCTCTGGGTTCAAAACTGGTAATTGCGAAAGCTTACTACAATTCCCATCTTCGATTTCAGCCATTAACTCGGACGCCAGGAGAGCATTGGCCGGCCGATTCATTGGATCCACAGCCATTGCTAGTTTCAGAGAAAGACATTCATTGCAGCTCACTTTTCCCCCTGGGTGGATTTCAGCCACGCCTATGAAATTGTCCCACCGTTCTTTAGAGTCTAGAATAACCATGACACAATCTGTAAGAGTGACTTTGACATCGGCAGAACCCATAAGCAAATGGACGGAAACAGCCCCTGCCATCATGATCCCCACATCGTAAACCATCCAGTTGATGCAATTGGACACGCAGTAGGCAACGCGATCTCCTTTTTTGATTCCCAGCTTGATGAGGACTTGAGCAAATTGCAAGGATTTCTTGTACAGCTCCTTTCTGTAAGAGAGAAAGAGATTGATAAAAGTCATGAATGATCTCAATAACTTGATCTTGTGGCGCAAAATCAATGGAAAACGAATGGGTGACATAATTTTCCCCACCTGAACCATTTTTCTTAATATAATTAAAGGAACAATCATATAATATTTTTTGATGGTGGTTGGGGGGAAGTAGGGAGCTATTTCTTTTTGGCCGTGAACATAACTTTTTGTCGCCAGTTAATATGAAAATGATCGTAAATCCAGAATTTCATTAACTATCAAAAAACTGGACAATTTTTCAAACTGAATGTCAACTGGGTATTGTGATAGTTACTAAACTTACGACGAATTCGCGCGCGCCACATTTGTTTTCGGTGGGAAATGTTGGTTTGGTATTTCTCGTAGAGATCTTCGTCTTCTAAAATATACATGAATAAGAGTAATGAATTATTTAAGTATCTTGGTTTTTAGTGGAAAAACAATGGACGACGAGAAGGTGCCATTGAACCTGTTAATTATATAATTATTAGAGCAATGGTCCGAAATTTTTTCATTATCAATCATCTTACTTATTATAAAACGCAGGTTGTGTGTGTGTGTGTGTGTGTCTGTAACGTTTATATGTTGGATCGAATTTCCTACATTTTTTAGCCGATTTCAACAAAACTTCACAGGACTACATAAAATTACCTTGTGGTGGTTCTAACGGGGCCGAAAATGGGAAAAACAGTTGTTTTTAAGAAAATCATTTTGAAAACACGATTAAGACTCATCGTGAGAATGAAAGGGGGACAACTCCCACGAAAATCTAAACAAAGAGCATAGTTTGATAGAAAAAAGCTGAACTTGACGAAAAACAAAATTTTATCGTCTAATGTTCATATTATCATTAAGAGAAAAGATCAAAGTATTTTGGGGGTATTTTTTACATTTTTTAATCGTTCCTAGCACGTCTGAAATTTTCGTTAAAATATTGTTTTTTTTTGGTCAAAAAAAGGACAGAATCATTTTCAATCATTTTTTCGATTTGATAAAAAAGATTAAAATCTTACTTTGATATTCTTTTAAAAATCAATTATCATTTTTTCAAAACTGATTTTAATAAAAACAGAAATTATACTGTTTATTTAAAATATTTTGAACCAAGCTTAACTTAGCTTCTGCACCGAAAAAATGTAATTTGAAAATAAAACAAAGCAGGTCATAACCTTTCGCGTCGCTTGACGATTGACGAAAGGCACATTCATGACGTTTAGATAACTTACGGGAGGAGAATTCTTTCTACGGATGGAAGGAAGTGAACAAATTATTTACCTTGTTACTTTTAAGGAAAACTATCAGCGCTCTAATTTTTTATTTTTTTTTTTTTTATTTTTTTTTTTTCATTTTTACATTTACGATGCTTTATGGAAAATATAAAGAAATTAAAAAATAAGATTGTTAATAGTGAGATTGAATTTCATAAGAAAAAGGTATCTAATTAATTTAGGTACCTTTCTTATGAAATTTTATCAAAAGTGTACATAAAATACTATAATTTTATGTACATTTATTACATTTTACTGTGTTATTTGTATTTGCATTCATTTTATTATTAATTTTGATATTTCATTTATGGAAAAATGTCATAACTGAGATTAATAAAAAATAAGATCATATAAATTAAAGTTTAGCAGTAGTTAAATTTCATAAGATGATACTGTTACTTGTAGGTACCCTTCTCAGTTGAAATTGAAAACTCAAATTAACTTCTCCATACCTGTTTCGTAAAAAGTAAAGGGCTTAACAGCGGAGAACAATGCTGAACTCAAATAATGCAACTAAATTGTATTCTGGTTGGTCTTCCGTACTTGATAATTACTGTCCGACTATAAACACAAAATTACATTTCTTAATTACCATGGCTAATCTGATTGGTCCAAATTATACAATTTTCAAAGCGCTAGACAATCTCACGGACATTTTGAAAGGTTGATGTTGCTTTTAAGTTTTAACTAATGTTAAAATATTTTTTAAATTCAATTTAAAACATTTTTTAAAATTTTTTAAAATTAAAGAAATAAGAAATAATTGTATTAAAAATCAATTTTCATTGAAAAATTTTTTGCTTTCAGAAAATATTGTCCATATTCATAAAAAAAACAAATTAAAACAAATAAAAGCATTTGAAACTAAATAATATATTTGTTTTATTGAGTTTTTGTATGTTACAATTCACAGCTGATTTTCAGGTACGTTGGCAAAAAAAAAACAAAAACGAAAAAAAAACATGATTTGCATTCTTCAAAGCCTTGTGCTTTTAACTATTATAATCACTAAAACCGATGGTCTCGAATTTCTAGAGTTTTTCATAAAATTAGTTATGGGGTGTTAATAAATATAAAAAAATATTTCTGCCATGACTTTAATAAAAAAAAAAACATATTTATAATAATTTGGATCATCTGTGAATAGTTTCTGAAAGTTTCATTAACATCTGACAATTATTTTGCAAGATTTTCCAAATTAATGTGTAAATACAAAAAAAACGCGCTAAAAAATTATCTATGTTATTTACTGCCCCCTTGTTGCGACAAAGAGAAACAAGGTTTTTTAAATCAAAATTTAGAATATTCTAAAAAGATGGAAAAATTTTTTTAAAAATAATTTTAAAAAATTTAGTCTATCCTCTTCATGCAAAAAACATAAGCATTTTGACGATAAAATTTTGTTTTCATAAACTTTGGCGTCTTTTTTTCATCAGACTATGCTCTATGTTTTAGTGGGATTCAATGGAGTGACTTAGGTTAAAAAAAAACCCAGGTTGTTTATGTGTGTGTGTGTGTGTGTGTGTGTGTGTGTGTGTGTGTGTGTGTGTGTGTGTGTGTGTGTGTGTTCCTTTATATATGGGATCGGATTTCTTATATTTTTCAGCCGATAAAACAAACATCCACTTTTTTTTTTCGGCAGGTAGTATTTTTATTGTCTTGTACACTTTTTTTTTCTTTATTTACATTCAGAATGCTTTAAAAATTCCATTTACAAGACAATTCTTTATAATAAAATTCTATTCACCAATCGATAGACTCATAACGATTGTAAACAATGTTTTTGTTTGAATTTGTTTTTTTTCACGAATTGGTCAAACCCAAACTAATTAAGACATGCGTGTCCGTCAACCTTAAACAATAATCTTTGTCAATTTTATTTTTCAGTCTTTATGATGGTCGATACTTGATCTATCTTTTTGTTACATCCCCGGGCAACGCCGGGCTCTACTGCTAGTAATATATAAACCCTGGGTATATATATATATATATATATATATATATATATATATATATATATATATATATATATAGATAGATAGATATCCAGGGTTTATATATATATATATATATATATACGGATAGATAGATAGATATAGGGTTTATATATATATATATATATATATATATATATATATATATATATTAGTGATGGGACAGTACCAATATTTTTACCGATTCTGATAAAATTTCCGATACTGTTCTAAATTTCCGAATTTGATACGATTACGGAATCTGATTTCGACACCAACAATGATTAAAATTCATTATTTTCAATCCCTCCAGTTGGTTTGGGAAACTTAATGAAAAAAGTACATTTATTAATAAAACATTTAGTAGAAAAATGAATAAAAAAAGCTTATGGAATAAAGTCAGATATTAAAAAAAAATTGCGTAAGAGTTCAAACAATAAAAAAAACAATTTTTAAGTAAATCACTTAAGTACATAGCTATTCATATCTGAGTCCCAAAATTCTTAAATTATCCTGTAAAAACATTATCATCTATCCTGTTTCGCCTTTTATAAATGTTACCTCCAATACTAAATAACCTTTCATTTTCATCAGAAGAGTGAGGTGCTGATAGATATTTCCTGACACTGTGATAGGAAATTCTAGTTTATTTGAATTCCACCACTGAAAAACATTATCATTACTTTTTATATTTTTTAATGCAATATACAGGGTCATTGAAAAATAACACCTTATCTCATGTAATTCCCGCCTAAGGAAACGTAAATATCTACCACCATCCAATTTGATCCTTTGGATTAAGTGCTGATCGAAACTCATTATATAGAATTTTATTTTTAATTTCTGCTTAAGAATAATTGAAAATTTGAATTTTCAAATAAAATTTCATATAATAAGATTTGAATTTTTTCTCTAGGGTTTTTAAATACAGTCAACACATTTTTTTTTCTTTTTTATAAATTAAAAAAATAATAAAAATTCTTAAAAGACAGCTCGGCAGAACAATGTGAATTCATTTTGTGTTTATATTACATAATTTTGATTATAATTATAAAATTAATAATTTATAATATTAAAAGGGTCAATTAACAATGTTTAAAAAGAAATAAAAAATAAAAAAAAAACTTATCTTGAATTGAAACAGACTTTAAACTAACTTAGATGAGTGGCTGGTGTAATAGATTATTGCTTGTAATTGTTAACCGGAGAGCCGTTTCATTTTCAGGTGGCTTCGTTATATTCACAAACGCGCAAATACCCTTGGGAAAGGCATGAATCCATCTCTTCTCGCTCCAGATATGAATTAATTTGTTGCATTTATCTAAGAAAAAAGAATCCTACCAATCTAAAAACATTTTCTGACTTTAAATAACCTGCAAAAGGTTGATAAGCCGTAGAGAACGAATCAATCAATCAATCAACCAAAAAATGAATTTGAAAGCAACAGTGGGTTTCGGCGGGAAAAGTTGGATCGGTCTGTCGTGTTCAAATTCCAGCAGATAACTTTGCGCTCATTTTCGCACAAATACCAATGGAAAGGAAATAATCAATTGCTTCTCTCCCCACCTACGGGTTAATAGCAGGACGTATTGTGCTCTATATCCATGGTTATCTATCTATCTATCTAAAAACTCAATTTTCAAAGGAATTAGGGAACCTGAAACGTTTTATAAGAGATCCGACACTTCTCGCAGAAAACATTTTCCGGAGATTACCCAACCAGAGGTTCCGTCATACCTCCCCACAATTGTGACTCGCCGGTAATACATTCACGAGAAACATTAACATAAACTAATACAGATTGACAAAGTAAAAATATCTATCATCATTAATTTTCAAGTACTTAAAAATTTCTTTCTCCCACCAAACATTATTTTCTGGCCTTTTCTATAAACAAATATGACTCAGGTGACCAATGATTGCATTAGTTTATATTATAGTCTGGTAGAAACAAAGAAAAGAGTCCTGAACTGTTTCGGGATATCAGTCCTTCTATATAGCAGTGAATGCCGAATAATCTCCTCAAAAGTGAAGAAAAGACTTGAAGCAACAGAAATCCTATTCTACAGAAGGTTGCTGAGAATACCCTGAACCGAATATGTGGAAACAACAAAATTTTAGAGAAAATGAAAATAAAAAGGAGACTTATGCTTAAGATCAGAGAGAGACAGTTGAAATTTATAGGGTACATAACGAGAAAAGAGGGCTTGGAAAATCTGATACTCACAGGATAGATTGAAGTAAGCGACAGAGGTAACCAAAACATAACCTACTTAGTGAGCTTGGTTAAATGGATGGCAGAACAAGATTTAGGAGAAATAGCAAAAGACATTTATTAAGTGCTACAAAAGAAAGGAAATTGTGGAGAGCCATGATCGCCTACATCGTGTAGGAACACGGTACAAAGAAGAAGAACTGCGACAATAGCCGAGGAAAGCAATTTTTGCATGATTCATCACCAAATGCGTTTTTTTTTGGCGGGGGGTCATCTGTCGTATCATATAGACGTATGGATTCACGCACCACCAATTCAGACAAAAGTCAACCTTTCCTTTATCATCTAAAAAGAAAATTTAAAAAAGGTCACAAAATGAAAATTAAGGATTTACAAAGATGACACATCCTCACGATAACAGATGACAGAAAATGTGACACCGAATATGCGAATGTGCATTGGAATAGCGAAATATGCCTCCCAAAAACTAAGCAAAATAACGTGAAAAGAGGGCAACGATGACTTGTGACTTCGTGCTAGCACAGCTATCGACGGCCCCCAGAGGTTTCGTCTACCCAATTTCACTCGCAAGGCTTGGGTCAACCCGTGGTATGGTTTTCAGGCACTTTCCAAAGGTACTGCACGCTGGGATCGACCCTTCCAATCTGATAACATCAGGAAGTCTCCTTCCTGACAAATCGACCATGGTGAGATTCATAAACTGGGTCTCATGTTCAGAATGTGAACATTCCAACCACCCGGCTCCATAGATGAAATAAATACTATTTAATATAAAAAAAAAAAAATCGTCTACTCAAATCCAGGTATCCATTATAAATAACGTTTGATGTAATAAAAAACATATTGGATTAAAATTCAATAATTACTTTAGAAATTGCTTCAGTCGGATTTCGTTGGTAGTTTTTGTTTAGCGGCATATCAACCTCTATCTGTTATTTACTGCCAAAATCTAAATATTTTGATTAGTTTGGTTTGGTTGATTTTGTTTAGTGACATATCAATGCCGAAATCTAAATATTTTGATTGGTTTGGTTTGGTTGATTTTGTTTAATGGCATATCAACCTCTATGGGTTATTTAATGCCGAAATCTAAATATTTTGATTGGTTTGGTTTGGTTGTTTTTGTTTTAGCGGCATATCAACCTCTATGGGTTATTTAATGCCGAAATCTAAAAATATTTTGATTGGTTTGTTTTTGGTTGATTTTTGTTTAATGGCGATATCTAAATATTTCAATGGTTTGGATTTTGTTTATTTAATGCCGAAATCTAAATATTTTTGGTTTGGTTTTGTTGATTTTGTTTAATGGCATATCGGTTATTTAATGCCGAAATCTAAATATTTTTATTGGTTTGGTTTTTGATTTTGTTTAGTGGCATATCAACCTCTATGGGTTATTTAGTGCCGAAATCTAAATATTTTGATTGGTTCGTTTGGTTGTTTTTTTTAATGGCATATCAAGTTATTTAATGCGAAATCCATGGGTTATTTAATCGAAATTTAAATATTTTGATTGGTTATGGTTTACTCACAATACTGAAATCTAAATGATTTTTGTACGCAAATCTATATTTTTTGGGTGGTAGGAAGATAGTAATGGTTTTAGTGATATGTCTTACTAATTAACCCATAGCTGTGGGAAGAAGAGGTGGATTACTATCTACCCGAATGTCATTTGCGTGTAAGTAATATAACTACCCTAACCAGAATTGGAACTCGGCTCTCCGATTAAAAATTACATCACCCACATATCCAAGCTTACAGCACTTGGTATTCAAGCGGCCACCCATCTAGGTGCTGATCGGGTTCAACGTTGCTTAACTTCGGTGATCCTACGGAAACTGGTATTTCAACGTGGTATGTCGTAAGCCTACCGTGCTCATAAACTTTCTGCAAAAATCTCGCCGTTTTCATCCTATTTTTTGGTATATATATTTGTTTTGTTTTTTTCAGTACAGCTTGTGAAGGCCTTTTTGTTCTTCCATCAGAGTAAAGAAAATTTATTAAAAACGTGCGCAATATTGTTGATTTCTAGGTTTTCATTTCACAGAGATATTTATACTCCTTTGGTTTTATCCAGTGGTGGCATCCTACCGGTTCTCAGCAGTTCGCATGAACCGATTCTTAAAATCATAAAATCTTAGCGAACCGGTTGGATTATCCGAAAATAATCTTATATATTAATAGCCGATATATAATAGGAAAAATATAAAGTTTTGCTGCGGATGAAAGAGGGTTTGCTGAGATGAACATAATTTATTCTGACAAAAGAAATAGACTTGAAGTTAAAAATGAGGCTACAGCAAAAAAAAAAAAAAAAAAAAATGTAGAAAGTGGGGAAGGAAGATCGTTATGCTTCTATTTTTCTGTACTTAGTGATTGAATACTTTGTGCCGATGAAAATTACGTAACTATTTTGGCATCTGCTCGATCCCATTACCCATAAGAGAATGTAGCACATGGCCAACATTTTAACGTGGGAACCTACATACATTTGGGTTAATGATAAAAAACAAACAGTGCCCAGTTCATTCGGCATATGACTGCAAATGTCAGGCTAAACTCTCTGACCTCGTCTAGTGAACCATCTGGATACAGTAGAACCAATTTAAAAAAAACATCTACACGCTGAAATTCAAGTAGAAGTAATTTAAAGATAAAATAAAATCGGAGGTCGAATGACAAGAGAACGATTTTCGACATTCGACAACGCTCCTCAGAAAGACTATGAACTGATTAGAAAATAAACCATGCATTCCACAAAAATGTTTATGTTTTTAAAATATTACCTCCGTTTTCATCAATGGTAACATAATGTTTTTGTCTTAAAATCTCCGAAAAAACTTCCGAGGTTTAAGTGAGATTTTTATATTCACACAGTGAAATGGTAAAATTAAGAATTTCCGTACAGAAAATTAGCCTTCCTGAGTATGACGATAAACTACATCGGACAGCAAGACCTTTGATCAGGGTGTTTTGAGGAGCATGGAACCACCTCTTAATTGCTGGTGTTCCCAGGTCCAAGTTATGGGCAAATAGTTAACCCCACCCTTCCCACAAAAGGGTCAAAATACTAAGAAAGTATAAAAATAGGTTTTAATATCACCAATACTTTTTGGAAAAAAGTGGTATGTTTTTAAAAAAGAAAATATTACCAGAAATCTATCTATCTATCTATCTATCTATCTATCTATCTATCTATCTATCTATTAAATATTACAGCAATACATATCTGGAAAAATATTACCAGCAATACATTTCTGGAAAAATATTACCAGCAATAAAAATCTTGTTGGCCTTAAATAAGCCTTTGAGGTTAATATGCCGTAAACCAAACCAAACCAAACAGAACATTATGCATTTTCGTACAGAAAACACTAAGCATTCATTAGACGAAATGTTAGCGTTACTATCGATTAACATTTATAAAATCTTTCTCTTAAAAATACAACACTATTCTCATGAAAAAAAAATCTGTTCTAAGAGAATGATTAAATTCACTATTATCACTCACGTATTGATGTGAGTTTTCTTCCAAACTTTTTGTTTTTAGGTAAATTCTAATCGGAGTAGGTAGGTCCACCTATCGTCCGGTTCACGTTTTTTTTTTTAGCAAGAGTAGAGGTTTACCATTAAATGCCCCCAAAACTCCCCCCTTGTGACAATTGTACTTCTGTGCTTTAAGTAAAATTCTTATGTTCTCATATAGAATCCAGTGAAAAACATATTTGTTTTATGAGTATATCGTCAGTAGTAGCACTTTTGTAGCTAAGCTGTTGACCCTTCTTTACTCCAGTAAATTGGGATGCGGAACATACATGGCTCCAAGAAGTCACACGGGCACTGTGACGGCCACACCTCGGTTAACGGTATCGACCTGCCGGCTAAATTGATAGTCGGAAGTGTTTCCCGACCGATGCCAAGCGGTCATCGGCCAGTCATCAGCCTGTGGGTAGGAGCTGCACCTCAGAGGTCATCGGCTTTATCAGTGGGTGGAGAAACATTTGAGAGGAAGCACGCGGTAGCCTCAACATCCTCAGTGTAAAAGGCACTGGCAAGCTATTACACTATTTTGTCTTGAATGTCACCATGAGCCACAATTATTAGATGGAGAGAAATGGTGACCACCTGTGGCACAAAATACGCTAAACGAATAAATGAATAAATGGTTGAAATGGTCAAATTAGCCATTTCCATAGAGGGAACACTGAGCGTTCATTGACTGAAGTGTTACTGTTACTATCGGTTGAACATTTATAAAATCTTTCTCTTAACACTACATTAGTCATCTCGGATTTTTGAAAATGGATAGTCCCCTGGCGTCGGGCCTCCTACGACAACTGAGCTACAACTGCGCTACCCCCCATGCTACACACCCTCAATGAGTCAGGAGAGTAAGTGGAGGAGGCAAAACAAACAAATTATCAACGAAGTATTACTAGTGCTTTAAAAGTTTTAGGATAACAACCCCCCCCAGTTTTTTCATGAAAATAAGGTTCCCAAGTTCATTAATTATTATCGCTCTCATATTGTTAAGAGTTTCCTTCTAAGCCTTTTGTTTAAGTCAAATTCTAATAAAGTAAATACGTTCGCCTATCGTCCGGTTCACACTCCTCCCTGTTCTTTTTTTTTATAACAGGAGTACATACATGTTTATTCCTTGTTTCCTGTTTATGATTGAGTTTCCGGTTCCTTCTAAAATCTTCTCTTTCTCATTCACTCCTAGTAGTCTTAATGGCATTATCTCTTGGCTTGGGGTAAATTGATTAAAAAATATGCAAAGTTAACATCTTTATTACATCATTATTTCCCCTTCTGTTATATGCTATACATTTTTGTTGTCGCCGCTGTTGAAAGTCTTCAAATGATGTGGTTTTCGTTACTTAAGCTCTTTATTTGTGTATTGATTTGAAATAGGATTTGATGAAGAATTCTCTTCTTTAAGACCTAAAGGATTCATTCATTTGAAGCCATTTTGAATCATTGATTTTAGAATATGTTTATAGATAGATGATAGTCTAGACATTTTTGAATGGGTGCTTATCAAGAATATCTAAATACATAACAGAAGCACCAAACCAAATGTGACAGTAATATTCAATGCATGGATGGATGGTAAACTTATAAATGTGTAAGAAGCCAGAAGAGTGTTTCACAAGTGAGAAGCGCGAGAGGAGGAACTGTTACAATAGAAATAACTGAGACATCCGGAAGAGGCATGGAATGTGGAATTTGAACAATCTACCCCCGTGGACGAAATAAATGATTCATTTCGAGATTCCAATCACTTGAAGAAGACGGTAGAATAGAATAGCCGAAACGTTGTGAATATGGCAATGAAGATTAGAATAACAGTTTGAATAATAGAAAGAATGACATAAATTACGGTTACATCTAGCCATTTAAAGTGTGCCACCAATCTCGTACTGTGCTTAAATTCCTAAAGTCTAGATATCAAAGAGGAAAGCTCATCAGAAGAATTACCATGAAAATATTTATAGAAAAATGGCACAGGGAAGCAATGTTACGGTATTGGGAAAATGACCGAAGGCGAGTATTTTCTCTAGAATATTTAAATACTTAAACAAACCACCAGACCAAATGTGAAAGCAATATTCAATTCATGGATGAATGGAAAAGTTATAAATGGGTAAAATAGATTCTGTGAAGAAAAATTGTCTATCACGTCACAGTGAAGTGACTTTCCTAGCGACAGACTTAGTATAGGTCTATATCCTAGATGGGTTGTAGTGAAGGGAGATAACCAAGAGAGTTATTCTCTTTCCAAATACTCTATTATAATGTTCTTATCATTTTTCATCTCTTTTCCATCTTTTTTAACCTTTTCTGCTAATAGAATATTAACTAATTCGATTGAACTTTAACGTCAAAAAATGATTCCATCAAATATAAGGTTTATATCAACTGAAAAGAATTAAATTTAAAAATGCAGGGTTTTGAAATTTGAGAAAAATGACAAAAGCAAAAATTAATTAATTTTTTATTTTATTACTTTAAATTACAAATAAATTATGAAAGGAAAAAGTCATGAGAACAAGATTAGAAATGTTAGCCATACACAGAAGAATATTATAATTGAAATTCCTTGTTTTTTAGTTATTTATTACTTACATGTATGTTTTCATTCTTAGTATATATAACATTTTTTACATTAAATGAGGCTTGGGTTTTGATTAAATTAATTTTTAATTAAATTTATCTGAAATTTGAAATTGCTTTTTTTGTAAAGAGTGAAGATATTTTCATCAGTTTTTCAAATGAGTTTCAAATTGACGAGAGAGTCATGAATGCACAAAACAGGACAAACAAACATGGACACAAAATCTGGGACACTTATTAAATACTGAGTAGACATTATTTGTCCCACCCAAATTACCTTCAGAATAGATAGTTGATAGTTTAGACATTTTTGAACGTGTGTTTATCAAGAATTTCTAAATAGACAGAAGAAGGACTGGGTCATATGATAGCCATATCCAATGCATGGATGAATGGTAGACTTATAAATATGTAAGATAGATTCTGGCGAGAAAAATTGTCTAGCATAAAAAAGTGAAGCAACATTCCCAGCAGCAGACCTATCAATTAATTCAATATAATCTTTCCACTTCATGTCAGCGGAAAACGTTAGCCAGGGAAAATGCAATGAAATACTCTCTTGTAGGTTAGTATCAGCCAAGTTGATGGAAGACAAAATGGTTCTCTAAGACAAATACGTTAAAATATTTGAGATCAGCTCCCAATTTATCTTATCGAGCCAATCAGAATTACCATTAAAACAGGAGTAAATAGTTGTGTTATCAGCAGAGATAACAAATTAAGAACAGATGACATCAGGGAGGTCGTTGATAAAAATTACCAACAATGTAGGTCCAAGTATAGAGCCGTGGGGTACACTTGTATTAATACAAAAAGATATAGAAGAGTGACCTTTCAAGATAACTTACATTTTGTGAGTTGATAAAAAAGTTTGAATCGAATAAAAAAATTATACTATTTGTTATGACTCTTTCAAGTACTGATGGAAGTTTCCTTCCAAACCTTTTGCTTAAGGTAGAGTGGAATACTAACATCTGGAATATATAATGATTTTGCATTGTAATAACATGCATTATCCATTTTAATTGTAGCTACTATTGAAAGTCTTCAAGTGATGTGGTTTTCTTTATTTGTGTTACTATCTCAAATAGGATTTCATGAAGAATTACCATCTTTGAGAGCTAAACGATTCATTCGTTTGAAGTCATTTTGAATCATTGATCTTAGAAGACGGTTGTAGATAGATGATAGTTTAGACATTTTTGAGCAGGTCAGGCACAATGCATGATATTCAAGCGAACATTGTATAGTGAAAAATTCAGATAAAAAAACATCAACTCATTACTGTGTGTCAAGCTGCGGACTTATGGATTCACGTCGGAGAATAAAGCCTAGCAACTATTTTCTTTGTTTGTTTTCTAAATTAGTACCGTTTAAATTGAAACCAACGTACCTGGTGATTTCATATCGTTCATCTTTGCTGTGGTACATCACCATGGCTATTTTGTCAGGTTTTTCTTCTGCTAGCTTCTGTATCCGTTCTGGAATGGTTTCATAGGAATACGCAATGTTTCCTGGTTGGTGGAAGTAGCTCTTCTTCAGCATGATTGGTTCGTTTAATTTCTCTTCGTCTGCCAGCTTTTTGTGACTTATGTCTATTTTTCTTTAGGCTTATTCTGTTTCCTTTTACCAAGTGGTCTGCAATGAAGATGTCTAGGATAAATAATTGGTGTGAACTAAACAAAAGATAAAAAGAAAAGAATAACTGTAAGACAACATTAGTAGAGTTTGTTTGCTTGTTCACATTAAACAGTTTCACATAGAGTTAAAAAAGAAACATTCAGTATACATACTTGCCAGAGATGGGATCTTTGAATATAATTTTTTGTTCCAAGTAAGGAAAATAGATATTACCGCTTTTCTTTGATATAGACTTCTGTCTTATAATAACAATTACTATTTACAACCGTTTTGTGTAAGACTATAATTTTTCTTTATATTTAATTTACGGATATAAAAAATATTTGTGAGTTTTTAAATAGCAATTTCATGGGGCAATTTTCTTCTAAATTTCTTCTACTTTATGTGTTTTTCTTTGGAAATTTAGGAATAAATAAAATCTAATTTGTTGTTTACTTTACGTGACTAATTGCTGTTACATAGTTACTGTATATGACCGTTGTCACTGAAAATGAACCGAGGTGCACGTAAAAAATGTCAATATTAAATTTTTGATTAAATTTGTATTTAGATACATTGTATTTATTTTTAATTTTTCTAGTTCAATTGTTCACCTATACTGCATATGATCCATCATTGTACATAATTAGGTTACAATAAAACTTGTATTTTAAACGAATACCACTTGAGATGTAGTAGAGTGTGGGGTCCCGTATCACAGATTCGGCGAGACCCGTATTATAATTTCGGGGAGATCCGGTATCATCGTTTCAGAGAGAGGGTCATGAGACCCCTGCATTGGTCCTGTGTCCAATCCATTCTATTCTCAGTATCATTCTATATTATTCTAAAAAAATAAAAATGTTAATGCAAAATAATTAAATATCAAAATAAATAAATAAAATAAAATAAATAAATACGCAACCAACAAAGAGTTAATCAGTTGACAATTATAGTCGTTGATCCAAAATTTATCTCCAGTTTGTACATTATATGGCTTTACCAGGTGTTTTTTGAAGACAAACAAATGTCTGGTTGCTGGAAGGAGGGTATTTATTCATATTACATTTAGGATTCTATTAGTTTTATTTTATTATTATTTTTATTTTATTATTCATTTAATTTATTTTTATTTTATTTTATTTATTTATTTTATTTTTAAATTTATTTATTTTCATTTTTATTTTATTTTTGCTTCACTTTTAATTATTTTTATTTAATTATTTTCACTTTATTATTATTTTCTTTTATTTTCTTATTTATTTAGTTTGTTTTTTATTATATATTAATATATAATTTATTTATTAAAGACATATTTTATGTTTAACGTTGTTATTTTATAGATAAGTATTTAAGCAAATTCTGTTTATGATAAACAGTATTAAATAACATTTACCAGCCTGAATGAGAAATTTTTATAAATTGTCGGACAAATATATGACGTCATTTGCTCGATACGAGAGCAGTTATGAATGTACGAGATTCATGGAAAATTGAGTTTATAAGCAGTAAACCCCTTGTTACCGAACGCTTTTTGGCTATTCATATATGACGGTTTATAGGATTTTCGAATGAAAGAACGATTATTTTTATGAAAACCCGACGGACATTCGGTAAATGTTATTTAATACTGTTTATAGTCATTATTGTATTTTATTTATTATATATATTATATATTATATATATATATATTTATCTTCTTTATTTTCACCAGTATCTTTTTATTTTATGCATAAACCCCCTTCCATGTTGTTTCTGCTTTTTAAACTTGATCTCCACAAAGTTATTAGACCGATGGCATCCCAGAAATAGTCATTAAGAAGTGTGCTCCCGAGCTATCTCTTGTTCTCTCTAAGCTGTCAAATAAATCTATGCCTGCTTGCTGAAAGTCATCGTAAATTGTTCCAGTTTTTAAGAACTCTTGTGAACCGTCTGACCAATCCAAATATCTGCCTGTTAGACTTCTGCCTCTTTATAGGAAACTTCTAGAAGTCCTAATCAATACTGAACTGTTTCGTCACAGGGCCTTTTCTCAGACAAGCAATATGGTTTTCGTATTTACAGACCAAGTGCCGATGTATTACTTTTAATTGCGGAAATATATATATGTTTGGGATAAAATATATCGATAGCGCTGAATATCTCGAAAGTCTTTGACGGGGTCTGGCATTCAAGTCTACTTCACAAGCTTAAAAGCTACGTTTTTCTCCGGGCACGTTTTTGAGTTGATCCAGTCGTTCCTATCTAATCGTGAAATGAAAACTGTCCTGAACGGTCACTCGTCTACATCCTTTCATACTAACACGGATGTCTCCCAGGGCTCCATCCTTGGTTCTACCCTGTTTTTAATCATTAATGACCTTCCCGATGACATCAGCTCTCAATTTGGAATCTACGCTGAGGATAGAATCATTTAATCCTCCATCGATGGTAAGGCTGATCAGTCAGACAAGATCAAAATGCCATTTACAAACGGCCTCAAGACTGTCATTAAATGGGACAAAAGATGGCTTGTCAATTTTAAAGCCTCCAAAACTAAAATTCTGTTGATTAATCATCTGAGAGACCCCACTCTGCCTTCCATCAGCATGGTTGATGCTATCCTCCAGGAAAGTGCCCCATTGCGCGTCCTCGGGACAATGTTCTCAGCTGACATGACTTGGAAAGACCACATTGAATGCATCGCTAGATAAGCTAATGTCGGTTCACTGTGTCGGGCGAGACAATTTTGCACTCCTCAATCAATCTTGCATATCTTTAAGTTTATCATTCATCCATGCTTAGAGTATTGCTGCTATATTTGGTCCAGTGACCTTGCTATTTTCCTAGAGCTCCTTAATAAGATCCAAAGAAGAATCAGCAATATTATTGGCTTGATCTGGCGACTCGGATTCAGTCAGTTGCCCACTGCCATAAGGTTGCCTCACTGTGCCTTTTTATATATACTTTCATGGTAATTGTTCGGATGGGTTCTTCGCTATGGTACCTAGACTGTATGAATTTAAGTGCAATACGAGATTGGCAGAGAGTTGAACTAGCTAGATGTAGCCGAAACTTCTATGCTGACAGTTTCTTATCATACACTTCTTGCTTGTGGAACTCCATTTCGGCTCCTTGCTTTCCAGTCAATTTTAATCTGCAAAAATTTAAACTGTCCTCCTGATTACTCTTTTCTCTTTCTTCTCATTATTAATGTTTCTGTTCTTAATTTCCCCACACTCTGTAATCCCTTGCATAAGTGGGTGTACCGCACTTCTTGGAATGATATTTAAATTATATATATATATATATATATATATATATATATATATATATATATATATATATGAACACGGATGCAATGTGAGAAATTGTTTGGAAAATAATCGGACTATAACTTCATATACATACATAAAAAAAACTTACATATTTAGTAAAAAATAATATAAAAATTGCTCTTGATAATGGCTAAAAGAATAGCCGAAAGTGTTCGGATATGCAGAAATTTTGGACAGTTTTTACACAGTCTGTGTCCAGAAAAGAAAACATTTGTACAAATACAATAAAAATTAAATAAAAAGCTCAGTCGCAGTACTTTGCCAGTCTGCCTAAATACAATATATATATATATATATATATATAGACATAGACAGACAGACAGATAGATAGATAGATTTATTTTTAAGGCAATAATGGATTATATTTTAATCCGACACACACACACACACACACACACACACACACACACACACACACACATACATATATATAATTGGTTGTATTGTATTTTTTATAATATATGATTAATTTTATTTTCTTATTACGATTCAAGGAAGATATAATAGTACGAATGAGATTTGTACTTCTGTTTGTAGTTAGTATGCATCTGGTTGCAATATGGGAGTTTCATATACTCAGGGTCCTTTGAAGTATATTGTATTTAACGTGTGTTGAGGATTTTGATATATATCTTATTTGTTCATTTGGGAAATGGAAAATAAAAAACGATTTTCATACACACGCGCGCGCACGCACACACACACACACACACACACATATATATATTTCTCAATAAGTAAAAGCACATTTGATATAACGACAGTTTTTCCTGTGGGTTTGAATCCTGCCAGAAGGCACATCTATTTTGTTTAGTAATATTTATCTTATATTTAGACTGGTACATGAAAATAAATAAACATGCCGTTTAATCAGTAAACTATAACGTCTAATTAAATATAAGTATCCAGTAAAAAAAATAACGTTTAATTTTTACGCTTAACGCCACCAAACGAAAAAATTTAAGAATACTTGAAAAACACAACATATTTGAAAGAAAGGTTGCTTCCCAAATATACATTATATATATATATATATATATATATATATATGAACATACATACACACACACAGATATATATAAGGGGAGAGAAAGGGAGAGAATATGTGAGAAAGATGAGTCCACTGGGTCGAATTCCAGTCGAATTCCAGGTGTACCCAGATTATAAGCAATATATGTGTATGTATGTGTTTGTTAGGATTCGTATGTGTGTCTATGTGTATGTGTCAGTGTATGTGTTTGAGATGCCTATCAATATACAGAGTGCGGCAGAAATATCTCTCACATAATGGTAAAATATAAGTAAGTAGCAGTGGTATCTTACCATTTTGTGGGAGCTATTTCTGGGAGATATATATGGGTGGTATTTCTGCTGCACGCTATATTTACGAAGTCAAATCACTATTATTATTCGTTAAATACTGTCATGAATTTGTAAACAATTTTGTGAATGAGAAAAATTGTGGATAAAACGATCCAATAATTTTACCATTTTTTTTTTTTTTGTCGAATCTTTCAGTTTTCTTGTTATCGCTTCTAACAGATTTCCGATGCAACTTTTTTTTTATCTTCAAGAATCAACCCTCAATAATTCGCGTGAAATTATCGCATGAATCTGATTTTTTTTTTTTTCAAAAAATCAACTCTCAATTCTCTTTTCTCTATAACAAAAAATTGTAATACTAAAATGAAGTAAAAAAAAGTAGAAATTATGGTATATAAAAAAACGACCTACCGTCCGAATAAGAACGTCCGCAGAACGTTACAAATCTTCAACAATAAATCACCAGTTGGCGTCCCTCCCAAAAAAGAAAAAAAAGATGTTGGGGTAGAAGAGGAAGGCAAAAACAGAGAGTAAAAAAAGGTGAAGATAGAGAGATAAATATATCGAGAGTGAATGTAAAAGAAATGCTAAGAAGAATGAGCGGAACGATTGCTTTGGTGTGCATGCATTTATGTGAATATTAATTACAGTATCAGTCAAGGCTGCGTACTACCCACCAGACCTCTGACCGGAGGATCCAAGCCTTATCGGGGGCCTTGGGCAGTACTTTGTGACCTACCCGATCTTATCAACATTTACTTTTTTTCTACTTACATTTAGATACGTTACAAATTAAACTAAGCAAATTAAACTAAAACTTTTTTTAAAGCATTTCACCCCAAGCAGGGCGAGAGTGCCACTAGTACGCAGGGATTTACAGAGAGTGAAATTAATAGAAAAAACTGGGTATAGGGGAGATTAAAGAAAGGATAAAAGATGAACGGGGTTCAAAAAATGAAACAAATAACAAACACAACGCACAAACGTGTACATTCTATTCATATATATAGCACATTTAGGGGCTAAGATATACAAAATATAACAATTAACTAGTAGGTATGAAGTATATAAAAATATCAAGACATACATACAAGTAGATATAAATTAACCACAGTTAATGAATAAACATTCATGAAAAAATTTATCAAGTGAAAATAAGAAAATAAAATTTTAAAAATTATAATCTTCAATTTGGATCAACATGTTTCAACAATTTTTATGTCTACATGTAATCATTAATCGTTTACGTGTTTAACAAATTAGGATTATTTAAATGTTTTAAAATAGTTAATTTTTCTACAAGACATAGATTACATCTGTTGCCTTTCCCACTATAAAATTTGGCTTTAGCTATTATATCCCACGTAATAATGGGTGTATTACCACAATTCTTTAATTGCCAGAAACACTTGGGGAGAGCTGTGCTATTAATGTATCTTATGTTATTAAAAGTCTTCTTATGATTATAGAACCAAAGGAGTCTGAGTCAGTCAGTTATGTGCCATGCGTGATACACGCTTAGGGGATACATGACTGACGAAGCCTATGAAACAACATGGAGACATAGAATAACGAAAAAGCTATACAGTCTTGGATTAAAGTGTCAGTCAGCCAGTCATGTGCCATGCGTGATACACGCTTAGGCGATCATGTATCGAAAGATACATGACTGACGAATTTTTCTCGCAGTAGGTTGCCATTTTTTTTCTGCGGTAGACCAGTTGCCCTTCAAGGTTATAGAACCCGGTCTGTCCTGCTATTTACTCAAAACTGGAGGTGGGGGAAGAAGAGGATTCATGCCTTTCTCAAGTGTATTAGCATGCAAGTGAATGTAATGGATTCGACTGGATTTCGAATCAGTGGACCCAAAATAAAATTTAACGATGTTATTGTTGTGATACTAAGCAAACACCTCCATCTCTGCTCTATTGTCATTGCCTTCCACTAACATTTTCTGTTTCTCTTGCCTCTTATTAATTGCTATATGCCTCTTTTCTCCTATTGATTTCCTGTAATGGCGACTGGAGATAAATAAAGGATTTGTTTCATCCATTCGACGGTCTTGTCCTTAACCTACCGTAATCGGCGATGCAGATATCCATTATCCGAATGTATACTAGCTCGACGGACAATATTTTTAGCGGACAGGTCTTATCTTTTCGGCAGTTGTATTTATGTTCTGTGATTCTAGTGTGACGTCACCCCGGGCCCTCCGCGCCCGCCGCCGTCCTGTACTGTGACGACCAATGTGACTTGATCCTGGTCACGGCACCAATTGTGACGTTCTAACCCTTTGCTGATTCGGATGGGAATCTGGTTACATTCGGTATTAGCTTTGTCGTTCCCAGCTCGCCTCCAACGTCTGGTTACCGAAGTAACTGCTTTGATTTCTAGTCTAGCCTACCCACGTTTTGATTTGATCTTAGGTAGCCGAAATCAATCAGTCGCCGGGCCACAATGCAAGCCGAGTCTGAGCAAAGGTAACACCGCACAAGTATATGTAAAAGGAAATAAAATAACAACTCGAAAAGCTCAAATGTGTTAAAAAAAGAATAACATTATTTTAGATCTGGTTGCTGAATACAGGACTGCATCTTTCTCCCAAACCACTAATATGGATTCGTGACACTTTGTGTTTGTTAGGCGAGTCTTAACATCTTAAGTTGTTTTTTATTTTAAGAAACTGTTTTTTTTTGTATCTTCAGGCGATATTCGTAAAACTAGTTTTGGTGGTGTGAGTCTAAGTCGTTCTTTAAAAATAAATTGTTCTTGGTTAGAAGTTGAGGTCGAGATGCGTGGATCTTCAGTCAGCTTCCTGCGCGGCGGGTTTCAGAGCTCACAGCTCAACTGCAACTAACTTCTCTCTGACTCAACTTCCAACTCAACTTCCAACTCCATCTGCTTTCTCTGTTACTGCGACTCTGCTTATATGGACGCCGACCAAAACCGGCGTGGGCCTATCTGGGTTTGAGGTTCCTTGATAATTCTAAATCCACAATAAGGATTTTCTTTGTTTTCGGACAGGAAAATTTATTAGTTTCCATTTTTGGAAGTCCATTACTTTCTACTTTAAAGGGAATCGTCCTCCCAAATTCTTCCTTTCTCATATTGGTATCTCATAATACCAATCCCCTCAGAGGGCGTCAACAGGTTTCCCCTCCATTCTCATAGTTTACATTCGCCTACCACTCACGCCACCACTCAGACAATGAACGCCCAGCAGCGTGGGTGGGCTAGACTGGCCTCAGTTCAAAGAGTATCGCCCAAAGAAAAAAAAATGATCGTCCCTTTTCTTTTTCTTTTCTTCCTTTTTCCGACACCAAACCCCTACGACTCATGGTGTGGTCCTTAATCTCTATCTTAACCGAAAGTCACCTGGAATTTATCAACCGAGATTTCCGCCAGCGTCAAGTGGGTGGTTAACTGGACGTATTCGCATTCTGTATCCAATTATCCATTCCGATAACAAACTTTTATCATGTCCAGGTTTGGACAATAAAAAAGGTGATCTCTTTCCAAAAACAATGACATCTCCGAAAGATAGTTAATGGTTTATTCTTTCACTCTCTCTCTTGGCTGGCCTTCAGCTGAAGTTTTTCTCGGTCAATTTCTTATCGCCTTAATTATTTCAGCTTTTTCTCGCCTTCTTCTCGCTTTAATTATTTCAGCTTCTTCTCGCTTTAATTATTTCTCGCTTTTCATTTTCCCGCGACCGCTAAATAGTGTCACAATCCTCCCCTAACCTATTTGTCATTTACTCGTTAATGACACCTAAACCTAAATACACTATTTAGCATGCATCATGCATCTGTCCCATGCAATTCTATTCTTCTTTTCTTTTTTACGGTTTTACATGCAAGGTGATATTCTTTTCCCCTTCTTCTGTTCTACATGCAAATGTAATGTTCTTTTCATCTTCTTCTGTTTTACATGCAAATGTAATGTTCTTTATCTTCTTCTGTTCTACATGCAAATGTAATGTTCTTTTCATCTTCTTCTGTTCTACATGCAAATGTAATGTTCTTTTCATTTTCTTCAGTTCTACATGCAAATGTAATGTTCTTTTCATCTTCTTCTGTTCTACATGCAAATGTAATGTTCTTTTCATTTTCTTCTGTTCTACATGCAAATGTAATGTTCTTTCACCTTCTTCTGTTTCTCATGCAATTTAAAGTGTGCGTGTGCCTGTGGGTGCATGTGTGTGGCTATTATGACTTGTTTTTCTTAGTCAATGTTTTCCTCTCTGCTGTAGGAGGTTTTTCCGCCGCACGTGTCGGTTTCATGTCAGCCTCCTCCGCCGGCTTTTCTGCAATTTCTTCGCCGATTCTGTATGAGTAAAGAACATTGCTCGGCATCTCCCTCTCGAGTTGCTGCATGCTCATTTGATTACCGCTAATTAATTTCCTCTTACTTCTAATCTTCCATATTGCCATACCCCCTATGGCTATAATTATGAATGTACCCATCATTGCTGACCAACTTATCGCGATCTGCTCATTATCTTCCCAAGCCATACCTTCATTTCCCAACGCACTTAACTTGTCCCTCAATTGATCCATATCGATCTTTTCTATCGGCTTCATTAGTACTGGCATTTTATTCAAGGTAACATTGGGGAATCCCCTCACTATTGGCTCCCACAACTCTGTACAATTGACTAAGCTTCTGCCAATCAATTCTATGATTGAATCTTTCTCTTCATATCTTTCTTCTTCCTGGTAATAGGGGGGGGGCAAGAAAATAGATATCCCAAATGCCGAACATCCCAGGGGTAACTTTAACAGGGATAATGGTGGCTTTACTCTTAATGTCCTTGTGGACTCTCCCCCACATACCCTAGACAAGCTGATGGGTTTCTGTGTGGCCACTGCCCACATCCCGTCTGAAACACTGATAGCTTGTGGTAATGCCGTGTTTGCTAATATCTCTACTTGACAAGTTCTCTTAATTCCCTCTTTCTTCCCTTCAACCAATTCTAGTATGCGCATTTTGTGGTTACCAGCTATATAGATAGGGCTTAACGATGTACAAGTCCCTAGAGCATAATTTCTACAATTTCTAGCTTCTTTAGCTGTTAGCAACATGAATTTTGTTCTATCCGAATTTAAAGCTATGTATTCTGTTTCCATCTTGTACCTTGCTACCATTCCCAAACCTTGATCTCTTCTGGGGTAAAGAATAGGTAAATTTATAACCTGGTATATCTCGAATATACTCTCGCTATCTAACAACGGAACAGACATCATAGCCAATAGTCGTCTATTTTCCAACAAGGTCACACATCCCAGTGCATTATAATATTTCCACAATTCTTCGGTGGAATCCACTGGCAGTCTTAAATGATGGGATAACTCGGTCTGTATTCCGAGTAGCACTTCCCTTAGGTGACCCGGGTTCACTATGCTTGGGGAGAGGTGTCCCAATGACAACATGTCTAATTGCGCTCTCACATGTTCCAGCAAGGTCGTCAACGACTGACTAGTTTGTCGTACCTTATTCGTAATTGTCATTAGTTGGAAATATCTTTGCATGAATTCACTCATTTCCTGTAATTCTATCATTACAGTTTCTGTATCATTAATTACCTCTTGTCTCAACCCTGCCAGGTTATTTATTAACCAATTA